CTGCCAAGCGTTCCTGTCTATCAGATGAATTTTGAAGTTATTAAAAATTAATCAGAAAATTTTTTTATAAATAAAAATATTATTTTATTTGCTATATTATATTGAATTTATAATTATATTATCAAAATAAAACTATATTATTTTTTAACATGGCTAATATATCGTGTAAAAAAAATATAATACATTTATTTATATTAGATTAAATTTAAAAAAAAAATTTATCATAAAATTTTGAACGGTTCATGAACGTGAACGCGTTCCTTTTTTTTTGAAGTGAACTTAAACGTGAACGCGTTCGATTTTGGTCAATAGTAATAACATTAATCTATATACATAATAAGTAATAAACAATTATATTATGAAATTTGAAATAAATATTTAAAATAATATTTAACATTAATATATCGAAGATTTCTTTTTAGAAATACCAATATTTCCAATTTATCAGAGGTCAGCTTGCGGCGACAGTAACTGTCAATATCACCAATTTCACTAAAAACAAAACAGAATGCGCAAAAAAATAACAATATGGCAGAATGTTTATAATTAATTATCATTAAAAAAATATACATAAAAATGGATTTCGATTTTATTTATAAAAATAAATGATCTTAGATATAACTTTTTATAAAAATTTTATTTTTGTTAAAGAAGCCATTTTATATAGGATCAAATTTTATAATATTGGCCGATAACCGGTATTTTAAAATGGGTGAAATCGGCCCGATCTGATCCGATAAAAAATATCGGCACATACCTAACATATTTTATATATAATTATTTTAGCAAGTTCTTATTAGAGGAAATATTTAAGCTACAATTGATATATAACATTAGATAATTTTAAAAGGCTCTTAATAAAATAATTATAATAAGGCAGAATTTAACTTTATTAGTTACTTTTATTTATTTATAATATAAAAATTACATGTATTTATTTACAAAATTTAATCAATTTGAAATGCATTAAAGGAAATTGTTACGTATTTAATAATTATAATATAATGTTGTACATTATTTTCATATTTTATATAAAATTAATGATTTTGCAAGAAATATGTAAAAAAAAATTGAAGAGATTTAAATGATATTTATATATATATGATAAAACGCAAGAATTAATAAGTCATATTAGAAAATAAACTAATTTTAAAAAATACATAAATATCACAAACAAGTAATGATAAATACTTATTAAAGATAATGAATAAAATAAAACTAGTATACTTTTTTTTAGAGATGCCATATACTCCGAATATAAGCTATATTTAAAACACAGAAAATAACCTGCAAATTCTAATAAATCATTTGATTTTTTTTTTCTTATTTGCATATTTTCAACTCCCATTAAATATACTACTCTCCCTTCTTTTTTTAAGCTATTAATGGGCAAAAACTAATATTAAAATCCCTGGTTATTTATAATTAATTCATTAATAAATATTTTATTAATTATTGGAAATATTCATTCTTATATTCACAAATAAATAATAAAAACTGTATTTTATAAACTATTCTAATTTAATTGGTAATAATAATTTAAAAGTATCTTTTATTAGATACTCTAATTTAGTAAAAGATACAAGTATCTTTTATCTTTTTGATATTTTGAAAAAGATACAAGTATCTGTATCTAAGATTCTTTTTTTTAAGAATCTGTATCTGCATCTAGATTCTTTTTCAGGAGGACCTGCCCAACTCTGGATCTTTATATAAATAAATACAATAATTTTGCTAGCATGGTTTGAGAAAATCACTAACTGCTAATTTATATTACAACAAATATCTAATCGTCAATAAAATGTATGGAGAAAATATAAATATGCAAGAAAGCTCTGAAGGCATTTGTTGAAGAAGTTGGGTGTTTGCTCCATAGAAATTACCAATAATATATAAAATGAAGAATTTTGGACGAAAAATGTTTTAAACTATTCTTCAACTTTAAACTACTTTTTGTTGAAAGTGCAAGGGGATAAATGTATTTTGGCCCACGTAATAATTGCGATGCTTTATTTGGAAAACACGTAATTCAATCATGCCATGATTCTATATTTTCTCCATCTGAAGAAAAAAAAATTAAAGATATACTGGTAAAAAAAACTATCCAAATAAATATATTTGCCCACACTACTAATTATTTATTGGATCCCCAATACAAGGGGAGTATCTTACTAGTGGGAGTGTGATGAAGCATGTAATATGATACAAAAATTAAATTTTAAGTGATATCTTTCATAAGTAAAGCGACGGTTAACCAAAATATCTGGAAAGAAGTAAATGCATAAAAAACAATCAGATTACGGCCTCAAGTTGTTGGAATCGGCTTTGCCTACCTTCAACACTAAATGAAGTGTCAAATATTTTACTACTACTCCTTCGAAAAGAAATTGGTCGGCTTGGGGTAATATTCTTATGAAGAAAAGACTAAGAATAAAGATCTCGATAACAGGATAATTAATAAGAATATCGTAACCTAAGATTATTTAAAAATATTTTTAAAAAAGGATATATTCAATATGAATCAGAACAAAACTCTGCCACGTAGAGTGAAACATTAATTTATAGAATTTAAAAAATATTAATAGATTCATTTTTTACTATCTAATATATATAATCACCATAATCAAAATATGATTATTTTCGTATCTTCCTAATGTATTTAAAATTTAAGGAGACTATATAGTGTAAGGTTGTTTTTTTGCTCTCTACGAGAGTCGAACCACAAACCCCGTTTCAAAGGCGTATGTTTCATGCACCAATTAGAATATAATTAAATTTAAAATATTAATTATATATATTAATTAATAGCTAATATTTTTTTAAAAAATTTTGCCGTTTATTACCATACTAGCTGACGGGGTTGAAGGGTAATTATTTAGTTTGTGTGTATGGTACTAAATATACTTTATTAATAAATTTTATATAAATATTAAATTTAAGAGAAAAAGAGGTAAATTGTTGCAATGTATACCGTGAGCATGTATTAGAAATATCAAAATTTAAATTTGTGATGGAAATCATATTGGATAAAATTTAAAATAGATGCTTTAAGATTTTTGGATTTTAAATATGGGTTATACATTGGCCTGAAATATTTTTTGCAGACATAGCCAGGCATGATCAAAAAACCAAGTCCCATGCAACTTTCATAAAATTTTGCCATTTATTTTTATTGTAATTTAATAAAAATGTCTTAAATTTAATTTTATATTTAGAATAAAATTTAGATTTGTGATAGAAATCATATTGGGTAAAATATAAAATAGAATGCTTGAAAATTTTTTAATTTTAAATATGGGCTAGACATTGATTGGCCTGAAAATTTTTTTTTGCAGAAATCGCCAGGCCTGATTAAAAAACCAAGCCCATGCAACTTTCATATTCTGATTTTATTTTTAAATGAATTATGACTTTTATATATTTTATTTCAGTTCTCAACTCACAAAATTATTATGGTTTTTGGCGGGCTTGAGAAAAAAAAATCCCAACAATATGGTTTTCAGAGACCAGGCTTGGGAAAAAATTACAAAATTATGGGTTGGCCAGGTTTGAGAAAAAATTTCAGGCCAATGTCTCGTCCATATTTAAAATTTTTAAGCATATCTATTTTAAATTTTACCCAATATGATTTCTATCACAAATTTAAATTTTTTTCTAAATATAAAATTAAATTTAAGATATTTGTTATTAAATTACAATAGAAATAAATGGAATATAAAATTAAATTTAAGACATTGTTATTAAATTACAATAGAAATAAATAACAAAATTTTATGAAAGTTGCATGGGACTTGGTATTTTGATCAGGCCTGGCTAACTCAATCTTTTAGTCAGAATAATATTGCCTAAGCCTCGAGATTTTGCTAATTAATGTCTAGACCTTTTTGTCATCTATGAAAAAAATCTCCAGGCTTGCTTAGTATTATTCTGGATAAAATATTGAGTTAGCCGTTTTAAAAATCGGCTCAAATCGAGCCGTTTAACAACACTAGGCCTGGCTATGTCTGCAAAAAAAATTTCAGGCCAATATCTAACCCCATATTTAAAAGTAAAAAATTTCCAAGCATCTCTATTCTAAATTCTCTATTTTAAATTTTATTCAAAATATAAAATTAAATTTAAGACATTATTATTAAATTACGATAGAAATAAATGGCAAAATTTTGGGAAAGTTAAATGGGACGTGGTTTTTTGATCAGGCCTAGCTGTGTCTGCAAAACGAAATTTTGAGACCAATGTCTAGCCCATATTTAAAATTCAAAAATTTTAAAGCATCTCTATTTTTAATTTTACCCAATATGATTCCTATAACAAATTTAAATTTTGATATTTCTAATACCCTTAATGCTCACGGGTTATATTGCAACAATTTTATCTCCTTTTCTCCTAAATTTTAATATAAAGCATATTTAGTACCATATACACAAACTAACTAATTACGTCATTCTTGATGGGTTATTAGCTAGTTATATATAAAATAAAGTAAATACTGTCTTAAAAAACATTTATTTGAATTTGACCATATTTGATCTCTCAAATGTCGGTCAATTGATCAAATTTGATAGGTCAAATGCACATCCCTGATTAAAAATATGATAACTCTAGCTTAGTCTTGTTTATCTTATTTTTTAACTTGGATATTTGAGATTAAATCGGATTTGAACATTTTCATATAGCAGTTACCTTTGGAGTAAAAACACGTTAGATTTTTCTAAGGGTAGTTGGCTCATCAATTTGAACATGATAAATATTAGATCTAGATCGAAAATATATTCTAGAATATTTTTTCCAAATAAAGGGCAGTCATAAAGATTCAAGTCTCTTTTTAGACGTTATTCGAAATGATGAGATTTAATATTTTTATTTTTTTTACAGATTTACAAAACAATAATATAATAGAGGTTTTATGAATTAATTTATAAAAAAATATATTCGCGATTTTATATAAACAAAGTATGTATAATTTTATAAATTTTTAACAACATTTTTCTATTAGCTATTTGGGGTAGAATTATATTACAATTATATTTTCAACGCTTGAAAAATATAGTGCTAAATTTTAAATTAATAAACAAAATTGCACATTCATTCTTTCTTAAAATATGGTTTACTTTGGTTTAGGTCAATAATTTATATAAAAATTGGTAAATGCTTCGAAAGGTGCATATTTTGCGAATTGCCATGACATAATTTTTTAAATAAATGTCATCTTGTTATTTTAAAATTTTACTAATTATAATACATTAAGCTAGACAAGGTGTAAACTCTTTAAACAATGTTGGCAGGAGATTTATTAAAAACACTCTTAGTAGTAGCAGCATGACCATAATTTTCGGAATCTATATCGTTAGGCGAGTTTGTGTTAAACCGATGGAGGCAACACCTGAGAAGGGGATAAAGACATATACAAGGGAAGAAGATTGACATGACCGCCAAATACAACCATCTGCGTATAAATGCACCAGGCGAATAAAACTCGTATTTGTTTGTTTTGACAGCGGAACAGCCGTTTTCCATTTGATTATCCGTTTCCTCATATTCGTCCTCTGTGTCGTTGGATATGAAGCAAGAACATGAGCACGGATCGAGAAGGGTGTCAGAGTATTCGGAATCTGAATTAATTTCGTTATTGTTTATCGTGTATAGCATGCATCTGGCGTAATGGATGCACGTGATCGTCTCTATAAATTGGCGAGCTGATTGTTGGTTTGAAGCCTTTCGGATAGAGGCTTCATCATTTGACTTTTCTCCAACGTCATATTTTTTACGAAAATATTTGCGAGTGTCTCTAGGTGTTAAAGGAGGTGCAGCACGACGAATAAAATATCGCGGTACAAATGATAGGAACATATTGCCAAAACTATTTTCATAATTGTGGTCAGTTTTGGATTTCGAAAACGAAGGATCTTCCGACATTTTGTTTGTAGGGGGGCTGTTGTATTTTTTTTCAAACGGTGGATCATCTGCAGAATATACCGATGTGTTTTCTATCCCCTCTTTATTGTGAATAGACAAAATGAGAGAAGATATGAGAGGTGAAGCATAGGTTTCTATTGGGTGAGGAGAGTAAATGCTTGAAATACAATCTGCTACCTGTGCACTACAACAATAATTATCACGATTTATGGAGGAATGATTGTCAAATATGTGATTTTCTTCCAGTCCAGAAATGAGATTTAAAGTCGAATTGCCATCCGGTGGCTGATTAGATTTGTGATCTAAAACAGTTGGTGAGGAAGGGAAGGGCATTGGTGATGATAAATGCGTTTTTAAGGGTAGTTTGATGCTGGCATTCAGCATGTTCAAATTGTACCCACCGATTATTGATTTATGGTGCGATTGATAATCGCTTTTACCTGAGGACAGATTTTGAATGTTACAAGAATATGGGCTGGAAATTCTATCGTAGGATGATTTTATTGTTCCCAGGTATCGGCGATGCCGAGTGGGGGATATATACGTACTAATATCAGAGAAAAGAGCTTCCGATGCATTCTGATTACTATTTGATAAGGTAGAGGAGTATAAAGGCGTGCATTGGTCTAAAAAGTGAGGATTAAATATTAAAGGTGTTGATAAATAAGGCATAAATAAATTTAACGTATTTTTATTTTAAAAAATAATAAATTACCCGTTCGTTTTAAATTGATAGGCGATAGGATGTCGGAGTTATTTTGATTTTTATCGTTTTTAAGTTTTTCCAGAATAGTTAGAAGACCTTTCTCAAAAATTGCGGCCTGACCTGGACTCTGAAAGGTCAAGCCACATCTAAAATCATTGCCAGTCTTCCAATGATGGAAGATAGGATTTACGCGTATATATTGTATGTGCTCATCAATAGGGCAATTGAGTATTATTGTATTGTCCGTGATACGTTGTCCTAAAATAACTGGCTTTCCTCCTATCACATCTTCGAGTGTCTTGGGGTCGTATAAATTTGAGAGAGACCCTGTTGATGTTGCGGTAGGACAAAAATTTAAAGCTGGTGAGAGACGATCGCTTGCTCTTCCGATTTTATCTTCCAACTGGTAACTCGTGCCATCTAAAAACAGGCCGACCCAACTTAAGCCGCCCCCTTTAACGGGAAGCCAACCGCCGGAAGAATCGTCTCGTCTCATTACCTGAGCCTTACCCATTTTTTTGGATATTGGGATCGGTGGTTTACAACGTGATACCGATTCTATAGCTAACTCGTTGATTCCTTCGGGCAGCGAATCTTCCATTCTTTAATGATTAATAAATATAATTTAATTAGTTTCAACAACATCAATTTAAAAGTATAATGGACATTATATATTTTCAAATTCAGAACAAAATATCTATTCTAATCCAAATATGCTGTATAAAAGTCAACTCAATCTATTAGTTTCGAACAATTATTTATTGACAAAAAGAACATTTCCTTAAGAGGCCAATTTTTAATTTATTTGACTATAAAATGTGCAGAGATCAATATTTTTTAGAAAAACTTATCAATATTATTCAAATCTGATAAAATAAAAAATTTGATATTTTATGATATACTCTTGAAGTTCCGAATAATATATTACAAATTTAAAATGATTACTTTACAGGTTTCAACCGATATGTTAATAAATAATGAGATTCAACAATATAAAATAGATTGATAAAAAATCGCTTAAAAGGTGCAAATAATTAACAGGGCTGCACCGATATTAAAATGGGTGATTATAAATGTGTATATTTAGAAATTGGCACAAGATTAACAGATATTTTATAATGCATAACCATCTTGAAATGATGTTATCAAGCAAAAATAGTTTAAGTAAGAGTTGATAGCGTCAAATAGAATCAGCCTTTCGGTCAGTTTTTTGCCCATCCGGGTTTGAACAAATTTAATTTTAAATCGTTCGATTCTAACGCCTCCTTAAAATAATTTTGTTTTATAACAAGTTGGATGTTTATCCATAAAAAATTAGTTGCCAATTCTATGATTACATATTTATGTCCGTCATTTTAAAATATTGGCAAAAATATCGGTTCAGCCAAATAATTAATATAAAAATTATGTAATTATATGATCCCATACCACATTACATTTTCCTCATCTACCCGGTTCACATATTCACATTAGATAAACAAATGGAATTAAGAAAATTTAAAAAATACATGTTGTGATGATTTAATGAAACATGTTGACGATTAAATAACCCATCCATATAAAAATATTTTGTTTGCAAAAATAATTAAAATAACAAAAGAAGGAATAAAAGAATTTTCAATAATCCTTTGTCTATATTTTAATTATTTTTAGCAAGCAAAATATTTTTATATGGATGGGTTTTAATTTAATCGTCAATGTTTCATTAAATAATCACACGAGGCAATTTGTGATCTGGTTCATTGAAACACCCGAATTTCATAAAATGTTCCCTTAAGAAGAATATTGCTAATGTTAAAAAAATATATTATTTGGCTTAAAAAGTTAAAACAGATTTGAGATTCAGAAATGGGAGTTTCATATAGGAAGCAAGTTAAAAGTAAAAGCCAATGAAAATAATAAATCATGGCGGTACTCCACTTTTTATCGAAAAGATTACTTTGTAAATGATAATAAACAAAAGCGTAGTATTTTAGGCAAAAATATACAATATATTTTGATAAAATACAAATAAAACAGAAGAGGAGAAGCATGAGGATCTAACCACTCCAAATAAATTTCTATATATATAAACAATTTTAGTATCATTCCAAAAAATGGAAGCTGATATTAACCAGGTTTATAAACTGAACTAAAAAGGTTCCAATTATATAGATGATTTCGATTCCTTAAAATATAAAGAGGTGGTTTTTCAATAATAAGCAATGAAAAAATTAAGCATTAAATAAACCCTTAATTTATGAAAATTTTAAAAGAGGTTCAAGTTCCTATATTTGCCTTGGTTCGAAATGATAAATTAATAAATAAAAAGGAATATATAATTAAATTATAAAAACATTATGATTATGGGTGTAAGAAATATTTCAAATGATATTTTTCACCTTAAATATAAGTTTTCTTTGGAATTTCCAAAATAATGTTTGTAAGAGTTCTCTAGTGTGATAGTAACAAGTTAATAAGACGTTAACCGAAAAATAGTACTGCTTTAGATATTTTAGTAGCAACAATTTGGATAGGATATAAGATTTAAGTCAATTTATACATAATAACATGCCAATATTTGCCCTTTCTACCAATGTGTGATAAGAATATTTCTTTAATTGCCATTATTATATACAACTGATTTTATGGTGGAGGTAATATAAACTGATGTGAATCTAAACATTTTTTTGGCCATTCTTAAATAAAATATTTTGTAATCTCTAGTGTCTAGGCCATGATTGGGAATGGCACTAATATTTATAAACTTGATTATATCCTCTGATTGCAGGTTCAATTGAAGAAATTTAATGAATCGAACAATCATTGAATGCAAAGTAATGAAATAAATTCCTGATGTATCATTATTTCAAATGGACAAAGCTTATAGAATGTATATAGGAGATACTACTTTATTTAAAATACTAAATTGAATTATCTATGTAAAATCCACATTTTACTCTTTAAAAATTATTTTGTGCGTATCTGTTTCATCCATTTTTTATATTAATGAGACATGTTTATCTAAAACGGAAGAAATAGGTTTTTTATGAAGAATTCTAGTTCCATAGAAATTTTATGAAGTCATTTTTATATTTTTAAGATATACCTTTTGTAGAGTAACTGGACCAGCCTCAACATCCCCTAAAAATCAGATTAGAGGGAAAGTTCTTCAAAATAACTTCAAAATCAATAATAAGTGTCAATGAATTCAACTAAAAAATAAAGTACCCTTATCCTCCAACAATTGTAAACTCTAATATCTTAGTTTTTTCTATTTTATTAGTAAAGTTTGTAGTGAAGGAGATGCAAACTATAATTTTTAGAAAAGTAAATCGAATGTGAGCTATTATAAATATAAAATAAAAATTAACCTAATTTTTTAGAAACGCTTCGAAATCAATGTTACTGTTTCTCTCTCGTTCCATATATAACTTCAAGGTTTCCTTACAAGTCTTATACCAATATAATTTAACAACTATTAAAGAACACACACAAAATTAATTTTTTTTTAATTAGCATAAATTAAAAAGATATAATAACCAGTGTTGTAAGTAATGTCATTCCTTGGGTTATTTGAATAACGTTTTAATTTATTTAAGGGTCATTCCATGCATGACAAATCAGCCCAGATTTGGGCGATCCTCTTCGATTTTTTAAAAAATGTAGTAAGCAAAGAAAGTTAATGTAACTAAGGAATAAAAAAAGTTTCCTAACATTTATATTATTGGAAAAATGGGTCAAAATAGCAAAGATGACGTATTTCTACCATTATCGGCCTTCATTAAATTATTATTTTAAAAACTAATAATTGTAAATAACAAAATTAATATCAAAATTACGTACATAAATTATATACGAAAATTTTATTTTTCCACTTTCCGGACAATTTTATTCAATACATAAGAATTAAAGACAATTTTTTGGAAATAATAATACCTTACATTTCCATAAAAGATTTAGCAGACATTACTAAACTCTTTTATATTTATAAATAAAAATCGGTCTGAGATGGGGCCAGCATCATTCTCAAAATAGATATAGATAGTTTATAAATACTTTCCTTAGGAGATGTGTTTACGTGCATTGCTATATGCAACGTGAATAGCTATGCAATTACTTTGATGAATAGGCATCGTAAGAAGGCGTCATTATGATCGCCACTTATTTGGTTTAATTTTCTTCCTAATAATGTGATAAATTTAAGGAATTCCTCACCAAAATCCTCAAGAGTATTTGTGATATTGGGATAAAAATTACGCTATAAATGTCTGAACATTTGTTTATTTTCAAGATTCCTGACGTGCTGAGGCATTTCTTAGATCGCGCCAAAAAATCGATGCAAGTGCATGCATTAAGACCAAAGTATTAGGATGATATCATCGGATCTTCTGCTGTTGCTTGAGCATAAATGATGGGGCTCTATGATATTTAGGATGCTGGCCATTTTAAGAGCTTGAGATTAAAATATTTATGTTTGTATGTCGTGAGAGGCGGCCTTTGGAATATCTATAATGTAAAGAATAGTGTGCCATGAAATCAGATTGTAAAGAACAGTTAATGAATTTAGAAGGAAGCGATATATTGAATCTAAGACGAAGCAAAATAGCTATACGAAGTTCTTTATTAAAGACAAGAAGACCTAGATTTTTGCTTGGAATAGCCCTTCATTGCGATTTAGAATTCGAATGGCTTGGCTGAGACATTATTCTAACAGATAATTCGATAAAAGATAATAAACGAAGTGAGAAGCTAGGAGAATATCCCATGCTTTCTGAAGGGCGGATGTAGGCCCTAAAGCCTGTTGACATTTTCTCACCCAAGTGTAAATAACGTTTCTAGGTAATGACAATGACCAGAAGTGATTAAACTTGAAATACCTAATCTTGAGGAAAAAAGCAGCAAAGGTTAAGGGACAGAAACTAATTCCGCCATTCTTATATGAAAGAGAGGCGTGGAGGCGTGATTTGTATGGAAATTTTACATAACCTCCAGCATTGTGCGGATTTGCAACTCAGGCTTGAGCAGGATATTTTAGTTGGATAAATTTTAAAATATTCAAAAAAAAACTTATTAGTTCATCTTCACAAGAATCTATATTAAAATGTTCATCAATTTATTTTTATCCATCAGAATTTAATCTGAATTCATTCTACATTCTTATGTTTTTTTTAGATTTGAACTGCTGGATATCAAGGTTGAAATACTTGAATTAGGGCCCAATCATACACTTACAAAGTGTAGACTTAATGCCCTTATTTTACTTTTTTGGTGTAAAAAATGTTTCATACTGGGTCCACAGGGCAGAGTTAAATCATCTTCATTTGAAGAAATAAGTATTATTGACATAAATTATTATATTAGATAATATAAATTAACATGCTTTGATTGATTCAATATAAAAATCTTGACTAACAAAAATGTAATAAATAAAAATAAAATGAAGAATTTAATTTGAATTAAAAACTCGGCTTAAATTATTATTTATAAAATTTAAAAAAAAATATTATATGATAATAAAACAAAAAATATTCTTTCCATATTTTTTAAGAAAAAATTTAAAGTAACGAATAGTTTTGAGTTATTGTTACTCAAGAAAAGAAACGCATTACTTACTCGTTAC